TCTCTTCGATGAGGAGAGTTATTCCCTTGGACTTGTATATATAAGTGGATTAGTCATCTCGTTTTATTGAAAATTCCTATGTTTATGTTGGCTGAAAAAATTTAAATTCGCTATGTACTGGACTTGCAGGTGGTGGCACAAAGTCCAGAGCAAGTGCTGCGTTATGATCGTGGTGGACAGCCACTGCTTGCAACGGACAGTGCACCAGCACCGCATTCTATTCCAGCGTGTATCCTTTGTGGCTCGGAGCGCCACTTTGAGCTTCAACTGATGCCCAATCTCTTGTCACTGATTGGCGTCGATGAAGTGAAACACAGCATTGATTGGGCCACTCTGATGCTCTACACTTGTGCGAAGAATTGTCATATTCCAGATTGTGGTTATGCTGAAGAATTTGTTTTTAAACAAGACTTCCAGTAATTTCAGAAATCCCCCACAGTAATCCTGCCTTTTTGGTGCAAAATCTGCATTAGTTGTGTTCATTTTCTTACTCTTTAGATATCCCGTTTTTATGTATTTTTTGCATATATGCAAATTGCAAAAACGCTTACTGTAACGACTCATGGTGTGAGTGTATGTGTTGTGTGAGTGTGTGCGTATGTGTGTGTGCCTGTGTTCGGGTATTTCAATTCGGCAACCATACAAGCTTCGGCTCCGAAATTTTGCCAACGGGTCCCCAGGTCAAATGCCACCCCAGGACCGCGGTACCAACCCTTATGCACGTCTGGGCCTCGCGTGCCACCACTTGAGAGTTTTGGCAGGAAAATCGTTAACCCGAGGACCAGAAAAGCTGGAAAGTTGAAGCTTTCAGGGAGTATTCCCCTCCCACATAGAATTCAAAGATTTCAAGTTCAGCCCTCCAAGTGTGCGTGGTTCTCATTTATGGCCCCGTGAAAGTTTTCAGCGGGAAAACCGCTAACTCCGGAACCGAAAAGGCTGGAAAGCTGAAATTTTAGTACAATGTCCCCTGTGTCAGTACTAGTTGCATAATTAACTTCCTGAACTTCGAGGACCAGTGTGTCACAAATTTTAGCTACTAGGATTAAAGCAATCTTGCTACAGCACGAAATACTGCAAAAACGTATGATCGCACCGGCGCGCCTGATGCGCATCGCCAATGACGATATTTGCTTCTGATTTGTTGGTGTGTGTTAGTTCGATAAAGAGTTATCATTTACAGTGGAGAAACAATGAAAAGGTTAAAATTATGTCTGTAAAGTGTACACTTTTTATGCATTTTTTGCAGCAGTGCAATGCGAAAAACGCATATTGACGAGAGGTTGTCTGTGTGT